GACCAAAAAAAAAAAATTCACTGTATAAACCTCGCTTTGTGGCCCACATATGTCAGACATATCCCCATCTAGTCTTTTTTATACATATATATATATATATATGTATATATATATAATTTAATGCTGCTTCACTCCTTCTTTGAGAATTTAGTGTTTTTTTTTTAAAAAAAAAATCCTTTTGTAATATTTGTTAGGATAATAATTTTTAATTTTGTTAAACCGTTTTTTAACATATTGTTAAATCATGTTAAAATATTTTTTAGCATGTTAAATCATGTTACATTACGTCAATTTTAGCGATTATCATTATTTTTTTCAAATTTTAATTATACGTAAAATATATCTATTGTGATATATAATAAATATGTCCTTGTAAAAAATATTGATTAAGTATTTAGTAAATATAAATTATATTAATATATAAATATAAATTAAAGTAAGTGAGAAACATGCGGGGTCCACTAAAGAATGTTTGTGAGGTTTATGATTATTGGAGGTTTGTGGTAGTAGGAGTAAGAATGAGGTTTGAATGATGTGGAGCATTGGGAATGTAAAAAATAAGATTTATAAAACCTTACCATTAAAGTTGCTCCTAATAATTATCCGGGTCGCGACTCGACCTGTTTGGTTCAAGGGATTATAGGGAAAAGAGAGAGAAAATGATAATTTTATTTGGTTAGAAAATGAATCGGATACAAAAAGAATAAAAAATAAAAAAAAATGATTGCCTATTATGATATATACAAGACAAAAAATAATAATAATATAAATAGCAATTGTAAAATAGTTATTTCATTTTATTAAAATTTTCTTGCCCTTCAAATTCCTCAGTTTCAAATGGAGACACACCAACATACATTAAAAAATTCTCTATCCAATCCTTAATATGACTTTAATAGACAAATTTATTAAATAATTTTATTATTTTTTAACTAATATTGATATACAATTTAGGGCAAATATACATATTTATCTATACGTGCAATATGGATGTCAATCCGAAACTCCATATGAGACGATTAATTTGACATATTACATATGAAAATATAACAAAAAGTTGTTAACTTTTAAAATATATTTATAGTTTAAGTTAATCAAGTGTTTTATAATTTTAAAAGTCCTAATAGGCAGAGATAGAAGTCTAGATGTAGTTGCACTACTCAAAAGTCAAAATCAATTACAAAGTATCAAAATTCTGACACAACACAAGAAATAGACATATAAGATCGAGACATTCTACATTAATATATATAGTAATGCAGTTTCCTTTGTAAACTAAAATTTGAATAGAAAAATTCTCTCTTATATTTTATCTGTTTAATTAATTTTAGTATTTTTTTAATTAGCATTATTTTACTAGTTTAAAAAAATAAAAGGGTACTTTTTCTTTCAATAATGCTAAGGAGCCAACCGTTGGCTCCGCTATGGAGCCAACACCCAATGGGACAATTCTATGTGGGACTGTCCCACATTGGAGCTATGTGGGACAACCCCACATGAAGTTGTCTCATTGGCTGTTGACTCCTTAACATTATTGTCTTTCTTGTAGCTACACATCTTGTTTTATTATTGGAAAGTCCAATATTTTGATTTATCTCAAACGTGCCTCAACATAACAATTCCGTTCCCTTGTGTGGGTAGGAATTAGGATATTTCTAGAGTTGACAATATTTGGGAGAGAGATGACGCAGTTTGGACAGATGGACAAAAACAAACGCCGTCTATTGGTCAGAACACCACCACCTTGACATATTAAGTCTACATAACAATTAACTGTTATTTTGATTTTTGAATACCTTACCCTCCAATCTCTCTCCACCTTCCTCTCTCTCCCGTTGCAGATATCAGGACAGAAATCACACACACATATCGCAATTGGGGTGGGAAATCCCTACAAATAGAAAAAAAAATGTGCGGGATTTTCGCGTATCTCAATTACAAAATCGACAGAGAGAGGCGCTATATTTTGGAGGTCCTCTTCAATGGCCTCCGCCGCTTGGAGTACAGAGGCTATGATTCCGCTGGAATTTCGATTGACTCGTCGTCTAATGCAGCGGACATTGTTTTACCTCCGCCTCTTGTTTTCCGTCAGGAAGGCAACATCGAATCCCTCGTTAAATCCGTATATCAAGGTGNTATTTTTTTTTTTTTTTTTTTGCTTGCTTCGCTCTTTTCTTTTTCCAAATGTAATTTTTTGTAAATTAAGGTTTATTGTGGCGGTGACTTCTACCTGGTTTTATTTTGAGTGGATTTTATTATTTCTTTTGTCTTCTTCTGAAACTGAATGTGGCGGGCTGTTCATGTCTAGTGGATGGGTTTTTGGCATTTTTACAGTATACACATGGCTGAACCCTTCCAGGGTTTGGTTTAGATACTCAAAATTGGGCTTCTTGTATTTGATGAGAATCTTGGTCTCTAACTTAAGATTCTTTTTCAACTGTTGAAACTGCATTTAGTGGGTTTCAATATTTTCCAGAGACCATGTGCTGGACTTCATCAAACCAGGAGGAAGATGTTAGTACTGCAGCTGATCTTTAACTTTATTATCTTTATCTTGTGTATTGTTTACAGTTAATTTTTACGGGTTCTTCAGTTCACCTATGGTCAGCTAGGCATGAAAGTTGGAATTCAACTAAATACATCTTGGATTCTAGTTCCAGCTTTTTCTTAATATGTTGCTTATAGCTAAAGCCCTTGTACGTGTTTGTTTATGTTTTTTTACTTTTGATGCATATTTTCAGAGGTAGCTGCTACAGATTTAAACTTGGAAGAGTCATTTGAGATTCATGCTGGAATAGCACATACTAGGTGGGCTACGCATGGAGAACCTGCTCCAAAGAATACTCATCCTCAGACATCTGGTCCCGGAAATGAGTTTGTGGTTGTTCATAATGGAATCATAACCAATTATGAGGTCAATTTTCTCTTGTCAATTACTGCCTTTTTTTGTTTGCTTTTATTTTTTTTACCCAATGCCTGATGCTGTTATGTCAAGTTTATATGTTGTGCGACTTTTTCCGTTGGTATAAATGCTGCGATATACATACTAATTATTGGTCATAAATATTAAAAGTTATTTACTTTCTGTTTTGGAGGTAAAAACTTTGAAATATTATTTGTGTTCAGTTATGCCTTTCCTTATGTATGTGTGGGACTCTGAGAGGTAATTTAAGCATGGGAGCTGAGTTTTGCTCGTCACAACTAGTAGAAAGGGAGCATGTTAAATCTATAACATGGTTTTATTTTTTATTATTTAAAGATCAATATAGCTAGTTTTGCTTGTCACAACTAGTAGAAAGGGAACATATCAAACTATCAATATACTCTGTCGAATTATATTTATTATTTAAAGATCAATGCCCTAGTATAGCTAGTTTTAGTGATTTACTTAAGTTCAATTCAGTTTCTAATGCACATTTACGATATTTATCCTGAAATATCTAGATAGCGGCTTTATTTAATTACTTGGAACACACCTAACTAGACCAGCTGTTAAAGTTTCTGGGAATATCATTATTAGTTGAAAACAAATTTCAGTTATTTGTCATACTTGTATATTGTCATGTTCTCATTCGTGATACTTAAGCATTATTATATGCGTCTTTAGGTGCTGAAAGAGACACTAGTTCGACATGGTTTTACCTTCGAATCTGACACAGATACCGAAGTCATTCCGAAGCTTGCAAAGTTTGTCTTTGACAATGCAAATGAGGAAGGTATTACCCTTGCGGCTGTGGAAGTAAATGCTTTAGTTCTAGCATCTTTTTCTTTTTTCTTTTTTTCTTTTTTTCTCAATCTTCCTGCCATCCTTTTGTAGTTCTTAATTCCAGCATAGCAGTAAGGCATTCAGGAACTTATTTCATCTACTAAAAGGGACAATATGTGTAGTTGGTTTATTTTTCATCAATTCACATGGTTAGACACAAAAGAAAGAAACAGTTTCCACGCAGATGTAACATTTAGTGTAGGATGTTGACTATATTAAACCCCTCTTCAGTTACTTCACAGATCAACGCTTATCCACTTAAACATTACATATATTAATCAGTTTAGTTATGGTGTATCCCTAACGGACCTTTTGGGGAAGGTGGAAGTATAATCTGGTACTCTGGTTTAGATTTTCTTCCATCTTTATTTTCATATCTAGCTTTTCTGGTGGAGAATTTTTGTTTTCTGTTTGAAACTTAAAAATAATTTTTTATATATAGTTTTCGAATGGAAAATCTGCAATGAAGAAATTAAAATTGTCTTCACTTATTGTCTTCAATGGGATTATCTTCAAATTAATGCATATCCTTTATTCTTATAAAGTACTGAATACATGTAGACACATGAGTTTACAGCTACATTCAGAATTCGAAAATTTTTATGCACCCCGGTACCAAGTATAGGGCTTTTGTAAAGCTGTTTTTCATGGTGTCAGTTACCTTGTCTTACATCAAATTCTGTTCATTTCTTTTTCTCTATTTTCGCAATTTCACCTGTCTCTAATGCAACTATTTGGTGTAGGTGACAAGAGTGTGACATTTAGTGAAGTTGTGCTTGAAGTATTGAGGCATCTTGAAGGAGCATATGCTCTGATTTTTAAAAGCCAACATTATCCCAATGAGCTGATTGCTTGCAAACGTGGTAGTCCGTTGGTCCTTGGGATAAAAGTAAGATATTCGATACATTACCTTAAAACTTATCTGTTCATCTAGTTTAGTAAACTCTTATCATATACATCCTACAGTAGTATAATCATAAAAAGAGAAATCTTTGCTTATTAAGAATATATGTTCACATTCACGCGCGCATGGTTATTGTGGGAACATATCATCTGTATATATCCTGTGAGTATAAATTCAGTAGCACGTTTGGGACTCTCCTCGCCTGAGTTGTATCAAACCAATTTCAATAGTGGACTTTCTAGTTTATCAGATTCATGCAGCCTGTTGAAGTTCTTGAGTGTCCTTTTCCTGGATCCTATATCCCTGCAGCTCTGCATGGTTGTTTTGGATAACAAAATTTTCTATATTAAGAATAAAGAATTAAGGATGTAACCTTAAGTACATGTCTCAGAGATGACATTGATCTCGCTACAGGAGTTGACAGAAGAGGCCAGTCGAGCATCTTTTAACGACGCAAACTTTCTTTCCAGCAATGGACAACCAAAAGAACTCTTTTTGTCAAGTGACCCAAGTGCTCTGGTGGAGCACACCAAAAAGGTTTTGGTGATAGAGGATGGTGAAGTTGTTCACCTAAAGGTACTTTCTTACATTGCTTGATTACAGTATCCAATTTTATATTTCTTAGTGTTTCCCTTGGCATTTAAAAATGATCAAGCTCTCAAGAAGTATAACTTAGTTGCGAATTGCGATAACATCAAATTGTGTTGGATTACAGAAATATATCGTCTTTATCCTTATTCTTGCTTTATCTTGTTAGAAGCAGTAAGTCCAAGTAGGCTGTATTTATTGTTTCATTACAGCTAATATTTAGAAGAAATGGAAGGTCTTTGGTTTTCCTACCCTCAAGGAGTATTTTGACAAGAATAACATTGAATTCATGACTGTGTAATAAATTAGGCTTCTTATGGGCATTCAAAAATGGAAGAGTTGTATTTAACTCATTTTTACTTTGGAATAACTTTTATTATGGGTCGTGGGTCCAGGATGGAGGTGCATCCATTTTCAAGGTTGACCATACTAAAGGTAAACCAAATGGAGCTCTAACAAGACCTTCTTCTGTCCAACGTGCCCTGTCAGTTTTGGAAATGGAAGTTGAACAAATAAATAAAGGAAAATACGAGCACTACATGCAGAAAGAAATTCACGAGCAACCAGAATCCCTTACAACAACAATGAGAGGGCGGCTTATACGTGGGGGATCATGTAAAGCCAAGAGTGTCCTTTTGGGAGGGTTAAAGGATCACCTTAAAACCATTAGGAGAAGCAGAAGGATAGTTTTCATTGGCTGCGGCACGAGTTATAATGCAGCTTTGGCCGCAAGGCCCATATTAGAAGAACTCTCTGGTTAGTCCAGTTGACAATATTTATCATGGACTGCAAGTTTTTTTTTTTAAATTTTTTTTATCAGTAATCAGTGTTTGTGCTGCAGGAATCCCTGTAACAATGGAGATTGCTAGTGATCTGCTAGATAGGCAGGGGCCCATTTACAGAGAAGATACAACTGTTTTTGTTAGTCAATCGGGGGAAACAGCAGATACTTTGCAGGCACTTGAGTATGCATTGGAAAATGGTGCCCTTTGTGTTGGCATCACTAATACTGTTGGTAGTGCAATTGCTAGGAATACACATTGCGGTGTTCACATAAATGCTGGCTGTGAGATAGGTGTAGCTAGTACTAAGGTAAAATATCCCATATGTCTTTTCCTTTTGTTTCTAATTACAAGAACATCCCAAAGTTTGAAGAATGAATAGAAACTAAAAAATGGACCACTAAGATTGTTTCGAAAACCTACTTTACTGTATTCATACAGTTGTCCCTCAAATCTTTCACTCATCTTATTAGTGAACTTTCCGTGAACAGGCGTACACTAGCCAAATTGTCGTTATGGCAATGTTGGCTCTTGCAATTGGAGACGACAAGATTTCCAGTCAAGCAAGAAGGGAGGCAATAATTGATGGGCTATTCGATCTACCGAGTATGTCTGATTCGTTTTCGTACTCATTTTTTTTTTTTTTTTTTTTTTTTTTTTTTACATTTTTTCGAATCTTTTGAAGATATGTGCATCTTGTGACCCATAGCCACTGCTTCTATAAAATTGCAGGTAATGTGAAAGAGGTTCTGAAGCTGGACGAGGAAATGAAAGATCTCGCAAAGTTATTGATTGCTGAGCAATCACTTCTTGTTTTCGGAAGAGGATATAATTATGCAACTGCTTTGGAAGGTGCCCTGAAGGTAAAAGAAGTGGCACTCATGCACAGTGAAGGAATACTAGCTGGAGAGATGAAACATGGTCCGTTGGCTTTAGTTGACGAAAATCTCCCGATTCTTGTTATTGCTACCCGTGACGCTTGTTTCAGGTCAGACTTCTTCCAATAAAAAGTTGCTGTTAAAGTGATTTTCTTATTTACTTTATTGCTAGCTTCTTATGTTTCTTTATTTTTTTATTTATTTATTTTTTTGTGGGTGATGAACAGCAAACAGCAGTCTGTGATTCAGCAGCTTCATGCTCGGAAAGGGAGGCTCATAGTGATGTGTACAAAAGGCGATGCATCATCTGTTTGTGTTGGTGGGTCTTGCCGAGTAATTGAAGTACCTCAGGTTGAGGACTGCCTACAGCCAGTTATAAATATAGTTCCATTGCAGGTAATATATTTGTTCTTGTTGTTCCTTATTCAGCTTTTAGAGTGGTATAGGAAAAAGGCTTTCAAGAGTTAAACACAAATGTCAGTTTTATTTGATTCATTTTGGATGAACCCTGCTGTTGTAAACGAGGAACAAAAAAATATTCTCCACGAGATCCCCTATTCAGATTTTCTTATTCGTTAGTCCCTGATATTTTATATGGAAAACTTCCTTCAAACTTCAGTATCATTTTGAAACTCTTTCTTATTCAATTTCAATCTTTAGTGAGTTTAACCTTTATGATTATTCTTTAACACAATTTTCTTGCAACCGCAGCTTTTAGCGTATCATCTGACTGTTTTAAGGGGATACAATGTTGATCAGCCTCGAAATCTTGCGAAAAGTGTGACAACACAATGAAGAAGAGAGTTGATATATTGGTGCAGCTTGCGTTTCTGAACCTTGTTTAAAAAATCCAGCTAACTAGGAACTCTTCTGGTATTCTTTTGCCATGTTGATTCCACTTACCTCTCAGCCTTGCTCTGGAGAGCAAGGCAGCTAATGCTGAGTTTAAAAACAAATCGTGTTGTTATTATATTAGCCATCATCTGCACAACTTGTCTCAATAGACAGACATCCTTTCGGCTGCTTTAAGACTTGGTTTAGTTATTTTTTCACTAAAAGAGAAGCGAGTTAGGGTTATGACAAATGCCTGTCTTTCAGCTTTTGTTCCACAGGAGTATACATTATTTACTATCTGTAAAATTATGTGACTCTGCAAATATAGCATAATCTGGATCTCTGATGCGTTTTTATCCTTCTATAGTTGTGTAATGGCCCTTTTTTTTTATTTTTTTTTGGAAATTTCATACATCAATTTATGTCAGTTTATGTCGCTTCTCGGTTTAACTAAGGTTGTATTTTTCTTTTAACAAATGAAAGGGCGTTCCTATCTCTATTTTCTGAATGCGTGCGAATGTCGAAAAATGTCATAATGAATGGTTTAAATACCTATCAGAGTTACAACTAATTTTACCAACTATTTTTTTCAATTTTTAAACATATTTAGGCAATTACTTAGATACACTATCCTAAGGATATAATCTCTTAACTATCATACATTTTAGTTTACCAAATAATTTCTTAACTATCATATATCTTAGAGTTCCTTGACTTTCCAGAGTCTGATCAGATTGAGTTCCTTAACTTACTCTATTGTAACAATTCAACGTATTCATAAGATTTGAAACTATGTACCTTGACCTTCCATAAGTTTGATCAGAATGAGATATCATCTATATTTATATTAAAGGGGTACTATTTATCAAATTAAGTAGTCAGAAAAGTCAACAGCATTTATTGCATTACTATTTTCGTATTATACTATATAAAAAAATATTCTATTTACTACATTTACTATTCAGAAAAGTCAACTGCATTAAATGTCATTACTATTTTGGTATTATAATATTTATTTATTTAATTGATTTATTTATTTGTTTTACTTTAAAAAAAGATAAGTATAATAAAAAGATTTTAATAATAAAAAAATCAAATACCAAATAAAAATGTACACTTTGACTTATTTGATTATATTTGGTATTTGATTATAGCAAATATATTCCTATTTAGTATATACATTAAATACTTACTAAAGTATTTATTTGTTTTATTTGTCAAAGTTAAGTATAGATTTGTTTATATTATCAAATCATAAAAAAATATTAAATCCATATTGTAAAAAAAAAAATCATATAATTTTATAACAATTCTACTACACTATTTAACAATATTTCTTTTTTATTATATAATAAAATAATAATTAAATATTATATGGTGAACAACAATAAGTAAAACTGTTACTTTCTCTTATATCAAGGGATAAATTTATATGCTAAAATTAAATTTTTATTAGTATAAATGTTTTAGTGAGATAATATATTAATTATTTTACAAGCTAGCCCTAACATGCTCATATTTAATGTTTTAAAAGATGTAGAAAAAAAACTTATAATAACTCTATTGTTTTTTAGACTTAAACGTTGATTAAAAGAGGTAAAAATTCCTAATTTTTTAGACTTAAACGTTGATTAACACCATAGATTGAGAGTTTATATTTAGTAAAATTCCTAATTGTAATAAAAAAATTAATTTTTGCTATATTTTAGAATATCTTTAAATTCATTATAAAAAAAAGAAAAAAAAAACTACAATAAAAAAAGCAAGTCAGCTATATATCGATTTGTTGTACTCCTCAAATCACATTCACAATTTGGCTACAAGGAAAGGAAACTCATTGATTAAAATATTATTTTGTCAGTAGTCTTAATGTACAAGAGACTTTAAGACTCCAATTGAATATTATAAAACTTTTATTGAACATTGTACAATTTTTTGCGTATTATAAACTTTTATTGAATATTGCACTTTATAATATAATATTCTCCAAATAAATATATCTCGTGCTTCGCACATACTATATATATCCCGTACATTTTTCTTTATTCATGTATATAATTATAAGCCTGAATAAATAGCCTTAAAATTGTGCACTCCGTGCATCGCACGGGTTCTGTACTAGTATGAGCAGTATGTTATTATGCAATTATATTATCTATATAATTATTATGGACTTAATTAAGTAATGTAAATAAGGTAAAAGTCCATAGACTACCTAATTGATATGAAATTATTGAGTAGATATCTAATACTAATTAATAGAGTTACTTAGGTGACCTACTTAGTAGTATATAAATATCCCTTTGGTTATGATCCACAAAATAATTAATTGTAAATAGTTTTTTATTCTCTCCCTAAAGAATGAAAATGAAGCCCCATATGAGATTTAGTAGAGGAAAACGATAAAATGAGGAAGACGATAAAATTGATCTCCGTGGTTCGTTTCGTTATCGATATGGAGTTTATAAAGGATTGAATCCATATTAACTTAAAGTACACTTCATTTATTTAATTATGTTTCTCAATTATTCCATATGAATATTTCTTAGTTAAAGTGAATGATTTTCACATGAGGTTAATTCCAACAAAACGTTGTTAATGATTGGTTATTAGTCTGAGGTGTATAGTCAAGGACGGATCTAAAAAAAAATTTTGGGAGAGCCTAAAGTCATTATTGTTAGACATATATATTTTTCTACAAAAAATACATTATTTTACTATGAAATGTCATACTTTTATATGTATTTCACTATAAAGTATGACATTTAAGTATGAAAGTATAAACATATTTGTTGGAAGAGTGTGGTTGTCTAACTATTAAATAGTCAAGAGAAGGCATATCGAGATATTAATAGTTCTAGCAATTCTATTTCGAAACATTGATTTGTATATGCTGAATGTTCTTCTATTTCAAATTTACTCTTTAACTTTTTAATTGTACATGATATTAAAAAAAAAATATTATAAAACCATGTTGATAGGGTACTTACAACAATATGATGAAGTTAAAACTAATTAGTAAATAGACTTATACAATAATTTATAATAATTATGGGAATGCATATAAATTGTATATGTTTTATATACATTTAATCTATCTATCTATATATATATATATATATATATATATATATATTTGTGTGTGTGTATATATATTAAAAAAATTGTATGTCTTAGAATATATATACATACATATGCGCGTTAGGCAAAATTAAAAATTTGGAGGGACAAAGGTGGATCCGCCCGTGTATAGTCATAGAAATGATTTAAAAGGGTAAATTCAATATATCTGACAGAAATAAAATGAGACTTGAGAGTAGCAGGATAAGATATGGAAGATAAACTAACTTGGTGTGTGTTTGGAAACACTTTTGAAATAGGCTTCTTGACTTAAAAGCCCATCTGAATGATTTTAGGGTGTTTGGTGATTTATATTGAACGCATTTTTTAGAAAAGTTACTTCCCAATAAATCCATTTTGGGGAAGTGGGAATTAGCTACGTTTGAAACCTATTTCACAATTATTCCTGCATTTTTTTTTTCCGACTTCCCCCCAAATTTTCTCATTTCTTTATTCTAGCTATAAAGAACTGTATTTTATCTATCTTCTTCAGTCAAATATACTCCGAATGTGGACATATCTAAAGGTATGTCAGAGCTTCAATACTTGATTCACAAATGCATATGTTGGATAATCTGTACTCAATTTCTTAAGGGTTAATTGCTATATAAACCATGACATTTTAGCGTTTGGCAATTTAATTCAAACCTTTACATAATTGCAATATAATCTCTACATTATCTTACTATTGCAAAACGAACTTAAAATTCGTCAGCCGTTCAAAAAATGCCAGCGTGACCGGCCAATTTTATCCACGTCAGGTTTTCTCTTGCTGAGTATGAATTCATAAATTACATGAATTTATGGAATTTGACTTTTTGAATCCACTAAATCGACAATATCAATTCAATTTCAATTTTGTTAAAAATCATTCATATGACCCTACATCTACAGTTCATTTGAAGACCACCGGCATATGGCTGATCACCACCACCCCTCATCGGAGATACCGTCGACAACGTGACGGTGATGGCGCGTGTCCCGGTGCCTTCTTCGCAGCCGGATACCCATAACGTGGCGAAGTTTATGAAGGCGGAGAACGAAGAGGGGACAATGGTCGGAATTCGATGCTTTAGTGCGGCGACATGAATCAGAGGGCAGGAATTCCTGGATCTGGAGGCACAATTTGATATGCGTAATTTGGGCAAGGAATGGCTGAGAAGATTCTTGTTAGACCCCCTAGGATGGTGGCGCCGTCATCGAACGACTCACCGGGGAACTCCCTTGCCAAAAGCCTGCGACTGTTTTTAATTATTTTTCACAAAACTGGTTCGATAAATTAAAAAAAAAAAATCAGTTTGATTTTTCTCTTTCTGTTTCTTTTTCTAATTAGATACGAAAATAAATCTGGTCCTAACTTGAAATTGTAGGAAGAGTAATTAATTGATTGAGAAAAATCGCATGAAATGAATTTGTTCTGTATCTGCTAATTAAGAAGATTCAATTCATTTGTACCAAATTAATTTTTAGGGTTTCAGTTTAATTTTTATTTTGTTCAATAAAAGAAATATTCAAATAAAGTTTCAGGATTTAAACATCAAATTCCATAAATTCGACGTAATTTATGAATTCATACTCAGCAAGAGAGAATCTGACGTGGATAAAATTGGCCGGACACACTGGCATTTTTTGAACGTCCGACGAGTTTTAGGTTCGTTTTGCAATAGTAAGACAATGTAGAGATTATATTACAATTATCTAAAGGTTTGGATTAAATTGTCAAACGCTAAAAGGTCAAGGTTTATATAGCAATTAGCCCATATTTTAATCAAATAATGTTAGGCAAGGAAATATGCACTAAAGGGAGAAAAGAGGTGACTGCATTTTTTATTTGGGAATTGCTTGCAACTTGTCAAGAATTTAAATCCAACTTGCTCGATTTGTTGGATAATTGAGTACCAACTGCTTGGGTCTCACGACAGCATAAAGAACAGGATTTTATTTATTTTTATTTATTTATAAAGAACAAGATTTAATAGAAGTTTGTTTACAAATACAGATCTATGTTTGTATGTATTTATTACATCTGTTAATTATTTACTCTATTTTGAGTTGCATAAGATAATTTGTTTTCTTTATATGACATATTATTTGATTTTTTTTTTATGCTTGTTGATGAAGTTATGGAATTGATCCAAATGCAAATTTGTTTAAGAAAATTGTGAAATCCAAGGCTGTTTGGAATGGTTATACTCACAAAGTGTTTGTTGAATTATGTTGTGAGCAAATGTCCAAAGGGAGTAAAGTAGGAACCTTTTTCTCTAGAGAAGGTTGGAACAAAATTTGTAGTGAGTTTGTTCAGAAAACTGGTCTGAACTATGACTAGAAACAATTAAAAAACCATTGGGACAATACCAAGCAAGATTAGAAAGTTTGGTATAAGTTAGTTAATTCAGATATTGGGCTTGGTTGGGATACTATGAGAAACACGGTAACTGCATCTGACGAATGGTGGGACGAATATTTGAAGGCGGTAAATAATTTTTTCCATCCTGTACTATACGCGTTTTTGGCATTTGCAATCTAAAGTTTATTTTTTTATTAGTTGCAACCTGTAATACACGTTTTGTCTGTATCGCAACCTAACGGCCATCGGAGTCCATATTCCACCGGAAAAGCGAGCGTCCGACTCGCACGCTCGAAACTTGAGGGTAAGATTGCCTTTTTCTCTGATGTTTGCAGGACATATTTGTCTTTCCATCACTGAACAAATTCCCGTTAAAATCACAAGAAGTGAACAGAGTAAGACGCAGGCGAAAATTCTTGGAGACAGCTTGGAGACGATGGCTCAATATTGCAATTGTGGCATCAATGTTGTTACGAAAACGTCGTGGACTGTTCATAATCTAGGAAGGAGATACATTTGTTGCTCGAAGTCACGGGTAAGTGATTAATTAGGGTTAACCTAATTTCTGAATTTGGGCAAATTTGGTGATGGTAATTAGGGTTAGCCCTAATTTCTGAAATTGTTCTCGTAATTAGGGTTAGCCCTAATTTCTGAAATCTTGTAGGAAAATGGTGATTGATCATTTTTTATCTGAAATTTACTCTAATTTGTGAATTTGGGCAAAAATAGTGAACCCTAAATTCTGAATTTGGGCAAAATTATTGAACCCTAATTTATGAAATTGATCTCGTAGAATTGAGTTCCCTTTTCCACTGATATTTGTAGGAGGATGGTCATTGTTCCTTTTTTGTTTTTAATGAAATTCCCCTAATTTCTGAATTAAGGGCTAAATTAGTGAACCCTAATTTCTGAAATTGGGCAAAATTATTCAACCCTAATTTCTGAAATTGATCTCGTAAATTTGAGTTCCCTTTTCCTCTTAATTTTGTAGGAGGAGGGTGGTTGTTCATTTTGGATGTGGATTGAACCACCATTGTGCCCTAGAGCTCGTGAAATCATTCTAGGGCTTTTGAAACGTGCCAACAAATTTGAAAGCGAAACTCAAATTCTTGAAGTAGACGTGATGAGGTTGGAAAATGATATGAAGATGCTTCAATCAGATTTCAAGGTGGCCGAAGCATGTATTGAAGCTATTGAGGAAGAAATGGCTGAAATGGAATTGTGCTTGAAGAGGAAGAGTGTTCGGGAGCATTGGATGTGGATTGTAATTATGATCTCTTGGTTAATCATGTATTGCATGTTGTAGATTTTTCAGCTTTTAGATTTGTGTTGTTCAAACTCTTTTGGTCCTCTTTTGGTTGATCAAACCATTTTGGTTTTGGTTGTTGACTGAATGTGGTTCAGTCATTTGGTGATTGTGTATGTATTGCATGTTGTAGAATTTTCAGCTTGTAGCTTTGTGTTGTTGAAACTCTTCTGGTCCTCTTTTGATTGATCAAACTATTTTAGTTGTTCAATGAATGTGGTTCAGTCATTTGTAGGAATTAAAACTTATGACTATTATGCCAATGCCATATATTATGACACTTTCACGGCAAAATTACAAAAATGATACACTAAGTTGGGCGTTGTCAACAAAAGAGACAATTTGTTGTCCCTCACGGAAAAGATACACTTAGTTGGCTTTTTGCACGAAAAAGATACAAATTTACAAAAATGATACACTAAGTCGGGCATAAGCAATCCAAAGTCAGGCATAAACGATACACTTAGTGTATCGTTTTTTTAAATTTGTATCTTTTTCGTGCAAAAAGCCAACTAAGTGTATCTTTTCCGTAAGGGACAACAAGTTGTCTCTTTTGTTGACAACACCCAACTTAGTGTATCATTTCTGTAATTTTGCCACACTTTCACATAATCACAATCATACACACATAAATGGCAGTAAAACCAACCCATTCAAATAAACTTGTATTCATTGAACACAATTAAAAGCCAAACATTATGAATGATTGTGAATGATTACATCAAAACAATTACAAAACAAACCATTCAAAAAATAACCATAATATCCAAAACAAATCATAATATCCAGAAGACATAACCATTGTATCTGAGTTCACCAAACACATCAACCACATCCATTGTGACAAAATATCAATCACATCCACATGAAATTGTTTTTAGTTTCCAATATCTCTCAGAACTGACCCCTACTGGTCCACTATGTCCCCACTAGTTGTAACCCAATATGTTCCCAAGATCTCTGGTCAGGCTGAGATTGTATCACATGCTTCTTCACCACTGGTCCCTTTGTTGTTGTAAAGCAAGCACCTTGAGTCAATGGATTTTTTTTCTTGGTCACCTATTAAATGGATAGTAAGATCATTAAAATATTGAAACAGACAGTGAAAATAACACACAATAAAAAAATAAAATACATTACCTCAAGTTTTCTCCTCAAGCCCAATGTCTTGCTTTTTTGCCCCAAATCCTTTGTAGGTGTGAGACCTTTGGAGTGGCTTCTTGTTGACCTTGTAGGTGTAGCTGCAGATTGAACTTGGCTTCTTGTCACCCTTGTAGGTGAAGTTACAACTGAAGGCCCTGCAGACTGACTCTGTTTTCTCACTTTAGGTGAAGTTGTAACTGAAGGCCCTGCAGACTCACTCTTTTTTTCTCATTGTACGTGAAGATACAGGTTGTGCTTGGCTTCTTGTGAGTCTTGTAGATGCAGGCTGGCTTTGGCTTCTTGGTGAAGATGCAGGCTGCCTTTGGCTTCTTGGTGAAGATGCAGGCTGCCTTTGGCTTCTTGGTGAAAATGCAGGCTGTGCTTGGCTTCTTGTGAGTCTTGTACATGCAGATTGGGTTCGGCTTTTTGTGGATTTTTTCGGTACAGATTCATGAACAAGTTCATGGGAATACCCATAACTTCTGGTGACCCTTGAAGGTATTGTTGCCACTGATTCCTGTGTATGAAGAACTTCTGTTTCCTTCACATGTGTTTTCATCTTCTTTCCCTTCATAACAAACAATGTACAATGTAACTATCCATTAAATGAATAAGGAAAAAAAACAGACACTTCAATGAAATACTAGACATTAATGCACTGAAACTCAACCTTAAACTCAACATTTATATTATATTAACCCAAGTACTGTTGCATCTAAGCACAAATTGGACAGCACAAAAATCACATCAACATGCCTGCTCAAATATTTATAAAAAACATTACCTTGGACACAACAATCTCTTCATTAGGGACAAATACTTCTCTCTCTGCAAAATCTTCAGCAGGGGCATTTACTTCAGTTTCTCTCCCATGTGCTTTTCTCTTCTTCCCCTTCATAGAAAACAACAATGTACATGTGACTATGAAATTTGTGATATGTATATATATATATATACAAAAACACTAACTGTAATAAGACATAAACTACAGACATGTGTAAGTACTTGTGACATTACCTTGACCACAGAGATGTCCTCATTAGGGGCACTGACTTCACTTTCTTCCAAAGTTGCTTTCTTTTTTTACCCTTCATAACAAAAACAATGGTAAATTTACCTATCCAAGTCAACATTTACAGAAATTACTATTTGTATAAAACACAAACATTAAAACAAAAAAATTACAATTATTTAACAACTACCTCAGTTGCTGCACTCTTGTCAGTTCTTAATGGACAACATCTAATGTTGTGGTTGTCTTTGTTGCAAAGAGAACACTTCATAAGTCTCTCTTTTCTACTCAGCTTCACTTGAACTTGTTTTTTAGATTTTCCTGTCTGCACCACTTCATGTGGCTGCTTTTTTCTGGCATTGCCTTTTGGTCTTCCAGGCTGTCTCCCAACAAATGGTGGGTTCAGTTGCATTGCTTCTACACTTGGCCAGCACTCAGGAGGTTGAAGAGTGCCCATCATCTCAGAATAAGCTTTCAAAAACTTATCTTTGTGATACCAGTCAGCAACATAATCCTCAGGTTGAGTGCCCAACAAAAACATGCCACTTATTGCATGCTCACAAGGGATACCTGTGAGGTCCCACTTCCTACAAGTGCAGGTATGCTCCCCCATATGAACTCTAAATCTACTTGAGCTCCCCTCTACTTCAAATTGTTCTTCCCCATTCCAGTGGCAAATATAACCCATTGACTTTTTCTTCAATTCCTCCAACAGCTTCATGATTTTTGGGCACAAGTTCCCATGCAAATGTTTTCTTATTTGATCCCTTCTCATGTAGGTCCTCTTCATTAGGATAAGTCTTATTGTTTCCAACATAGAAACAATAGGTTTACTCCTTGCTCTCAGGATTAGTGAGTTGAAAGACTCACTCATGTTATTCAACTGCATATCACACTTGGAGTTGCAACTATAGTGTGACCTTGACCACTGATTTGCTGGTTTTTTAGATGTTCGTTCCACTTTCGTCATGTTTTTCTTGTTTATTTTATGCTTATTTTTCCCCTCCTTAGGTGTTTTTCTTTGGTTCTTGGTCCATTTTGAGTCGTTTCGTGCATTTCCTTTGTTTTAGTCGTTTGTTGTCTTTTTGTTCGTTTTTCCCAGTTTTTCGTATTTCTTGTCGGTGGTGATGTGCAGGATAGGTAGCTCGGTGCGTGGCCAGTCGAGGATTACCATCTAGATAGATGAGTTGGGGTCGAATTGGAAAAGACGGGATTAAATTCCATGTCCGGATGCGAGAACACGAACCCGAGAACGTTTTTGCTGTGCAGGAAATCCTCACCGCGGCCGCGAGGTTCCCGACAGTCCCTTTTCTGTCATGAAGATGTCGCGGCCTCGGGTATCGTCATGGCTGCGGAAATCCTTCACCGCGGCCGCGGAGGAGTGGTCGCGGCCGCGGAGGTTGCGACGCGCAGAAATTTATGTACGGATTTTAGATCCGATTTTCATGATGTTCTTTCTAGGTTTTGATTATTCTCTCGTACTCTTGAACCCCAGAACACTTTTTCTCTTAGTTTTTGTTAGAAATTCATCTTGGAGAGTGAAAAACTCCAAGATTGTTATTTTCGGATTCGTTTCGCAATTGGATTTTGACGTTGAACCTTCGTATTAATCGTAAGCTTCTATTTTCATTTCATTCATGAATGTTATGGCTTTGTTTGATATGAATGTTTGTGTTGAGATCACTATGAGTAGCTAAATTCTCTAGCTAGGGTTAGGGGATTGTCGTTCCGGTTCGATCTCGTTTACATGCTTGATAATTGCTCAATCTTTTCGAGTTGTGCTTAACCTAGGGTTTTAGATGCTTGATCACCATCTCAATCTGATTAATTGATTTTAAAACCGAAAGGAGAGAAATCGATCGATCTAGGCTCGTTTAGAATAGGCTTGTTCGATGACGTATTGTCTATAGGCTGATTGGCTCGATAATTGTTCGTTTATGTTCATTCTCTTATTTCGTGAGATATTGAGAATGAATCTCTAGATGAGTTAGTTTTTCGAGTCCTTTGGCCGAGTAATTGACTTCCCGTTAAATGTTTTGAGAACCGGAAACGATTATCCCCGATACCCTAGCCTCCTTTATTACTATTTGAATTCGTGTTCGGAGTTGTGAGATTTGAATAGCTAGGATTAGCTCTATAATTCGTAGTTGATAAATCAAACCAAATCAATCTGATTAGAGTGTTAGGATTATTTTCTCTTTTGTGATTGAATATTCGCGCAATTTAATCCGGCTAACCTTCCTTGCGATACGACCCGGTGTTCGAATCTTTTGATTCTATTCCAGTAAAAATAACTACAACATTAGCCAACCATTCAAAAGCTTCTTTGTCCCTCCCTTGCAGTTCTTTCATTGCAGCATGAAAGTCAACAACCCTTGTGGACCGGGCTGCTCTCCACAACAAGTTTTTCAGGGCTAATCCCTTAAATGAATTCCTACAATTTTCATATAAGTGTTGAACACAGAACCTATGCTCAGAATCTGGCAATAGATTTTCAATTGCATCTACCAGCCCTTTTTGCTTGTCTGACATTATTGTCCACAAAAAAGAGTTCTCAATCCCCAAATCCCCTTTCAACAGGTCAACAAACCAATGCCAAGTTTTTTTAGTTTCTTTTTCAACAACAGCATAGGCAAAAGTATACATACAGTTGTTTGCATCAACACCAACTGCAGTGAGTAGAACACCACCACAAGATGATTTAAGATGACAACCATCTAAGCAAATCACCTTTCTACAACCATTCAGCAACCCTCTTTTCAATGAACCCCAACAAATGTAGATTCTTTTAAACAGTGGAACTTCATCAACAAGTTTACTTTTAATCACCACAGTGGTCCCAGGGTTAGTTTTTTTAATCTCTTCAGCATAAGACCAAAGCATGGCATATTGCTCACTGTCAGACCCCACACCAATCTTAGACCCATACTTTTTAGCTTGGTACATGTGCCATCTTTTGAAAACTACCCCTACTTCCCTCTGCATTTCTGCCATCATTGCCTCTGCAGGCCATTTAGTATAATCTAATATCTTGTGCTTGTAATTTTCAGCTATCCATTTTGGGTTAGCATGACTTACCTTTTGGTTTATAGGACACTTATGCCTACCATTGTAAGTCTTAACCTGCACAGTGTCTTCATTTTGAAGTTTGGATGCATAAATGACCCAAGGGCATGACTTATTTTTGCATCTTGCTTGCACCTTATAGCTCATATTAATGGGAAAACTCACATCCCTACCCTGTGCAATTGCAAAGTTCCTAACTGCCTTTCTAAACATGGCCAAGTCAGGAAATGTCATGCCCAATTCAAATTGAGGATTTTTCATGTCTTTTTGATGATCAAAAGTTGGATGGCCCATTTTTTTTTCTGCTTACACTGGCTACCTACATATTCAGGGCCATGAGTTTCATCTCTATTTACCCCTCCCCATTCAATATCAGCATGTACATGACACTCAAACAACCTATCGTCTTCATCATATAGATCACAATCACTCTCAACAAGTTCATCAGAAAAATCAGAGTCTGAACCAAAAGATTGGAGTTCAAAATCACTATCAGAGTCACTATCAGATTGGAATTCCAAATCATCACCCATATCATCAACATTCTTTTCCCCCAATTGTCAATCATATCATCTAAATCATCCCCATCATCCCCCACAAAAGGCAAGGGTTCATCAACAGAAGGCAAATCAACAGAAAGCAAATCATCAGAAGGCAAATCATCAGCAGGTTGAGTACATATCCCTGTGCCCTCCATATGTTCAACATATAAACCGACCATTCTATTACTATCAGCCCAATTAACAACATTTATAGTATCCATGTCATTTTGCAAGACAAACACAGACCGACAATCATTTACACCATTTCTACTACAATGCACACACTTAACATCTTTTATCCCAATTTCAGAAGCCATACAGAATATTTCAATCAATGAGAGTTCATCAGGGTCACAATGGTCAATGTGCCTTACCCTCATGTGCTCACCAGTGTAACAAGTGTCACCAAGTTCCAGAAATTGCCCACCATAATGAAATGAAATGGTAAACAATTGTGAACTGTGACCTGAAGGGACAAGAATATTATCAATATCAGATTAACAAAAAATGAATAAAATACTAAACTAAACCCTAAATTGTCGGCAAGTTCAAATAGTTTGTCTCCAAAATGAGAAGGATAATCACAAACATACTACCAATATACTAAACCCTAAACTGTTGGCAAGTTCAAATACTAAAATGAGAAGGCATAATCACAAACATACTACCAATATAAAAAGATTGCGTCAAATTCGACAAGAAAAAACAAAAAAAAAAAGTTACGGTTCGAAAAACAAGCCGTAATCGGGGCACAGTCTTCCAAGAGGAAGATTCTCATTGTCGTTGCGTACCTTCCAGCCAATCAAGATGGCGATCAAGTTTGTTTCTCAATTTCTATGTTTAAATCGAAGGAAAGTTTGAGATTGAAAATCGCAGAGGCAAGAACCCTAGTTTTCTGAGTTTTTGATTTGGGGATTTTGTGTTAACTTTGAAAATTATTTGCATATATTTACTCTGTGGGATACCGAACAGTCACACACTTCAATTGGCGATCTTACCCTCAAGTTCAAGCGTGCGAGTCGCACGCTCGCTTTTCCGGTGGAATATGGACTCCGATGGCCGTTAGGTTGCGATACAGACAAAACGTGTATTACAGGTTGCAACTAATGAAAAAAAAAAAAATTAGGTTGCAAATGCCAAAAACGCGTATAGTACAGGATTAAAAAATTATTTACCCTATTTGAAGGTATATTATTTATTCTTATATATTCATCAAACTAAAAAATTTAGACAAATTTATCGAATTATAAACTAATGACTTTTTTTTATTATAAATTTTAGGTTAATGCAGATGCTTTTAAGTTTCGCTACAAAGGACTTGATAACTCTGATGAACTGACTTCCTTATTCAAAGAAGGATATGCAACTGGAAAAAATGCTTGGGCACCTTCGGAAGGATCTCTACCAAATGACTCTATTGGATCGTGTCAAACTCAAGCAAGTCAATCTCCAAAAAATAAAACATACGTAAATCTTGAGGTGCAAGGTGAAGAACCAAATAATGTAACCAAATCCAATAAGATGAAAATGACATTGGGAATGCTACATGTGCACTTTGAAATTAAATAGTCCCAAACAGTAGTTCAATTTTATTTATTTTTTATTTATTTATTTATTTTTTTTGAGTGCAAAAGAGAAGGCTAAATGCCTAAAGGAGGATTATGCTAGAATGTGTCCGGGATGGAATATCCCGATAATATCATGCCCAAGGCCTATGGGAGGCGAAGGTACACGTTGCATTCCCAATGAGGTGGAGCACGCCAAATTTGCCATACGGTAGTTCAAATTTAAATGCAGATCATTACACTTTTTGAGAGTGTAGGTAATTATATAAAGCTAATAAGCGTCAGTGTAGACGATAAAAAAACGTCGCTGAATAACTAATTTTCTTGTTGTGATTAGCTCTGCGATGTTGCAGCATTCAAGCATACATATATTTTAGGATATAATAAAAGTTATATGAACGCTAATCTTATAATAATAACTAGTACAATACCCGTGTATTACGGGTATTACACAAGTGTTGAATTAGAAAATTTTTGTAAAAAATATTAATTTTTTTTATTTTGTTAAAAACTAAAATAATTTAATTTTATATAAAATATTACTTTTGGTTTTAATTAAAATTAAATTATGTTTTTTTAATCATAATAATTAAACACCTGTACATTAAATGAAAATGTCAACCCGTTTTGAATTTTTTTACTTATCTCGTATAAAAATATCGATATTATTTACTATTACATAAGTACAAAAATATATATCTTAAATAAATAGAAATAATATGGTGATATGTATAAGTATAAGTGTAGAATATGTTTATTTAATATTAAGCAAAATATATTATTTTTTTACTTAATTAGATGTCTAATACATCAAGTGTCGTATCGGTCGTGTTTCACAGTTTTTTTAACTTTTTATGTAATTTTAGAATCTAGATAAATAATTATTTATTTTTATTAGATTGACAACATACCAGTTAGATTTGAAATAAATATCATTTTTAAAAGAATACATACCAATTTTTATTACTTTATAATATAATTTATAGTTTTATTTGATATAATTTAATTTAATTAATTTAATTTGATAAATAAATTTAAATTTTATTTATAAGGATATATATTACTGTTTTGTATTTTATATATATAATATGGATGTCAAATCGAAAATCCTTAAAAGATAGTTAATTTGATATATCATATATAAAAAATAAAATACAAACAAAAAAGTTATAAAGTCTTAAAATAAGAAGAAGAAACATTTATAAAAACTAATGAATGAATTATATAATAAAATGAAATGTGATGTATGGTAATGTAGGAAAATGAAACATAAAATTAGTTTATGGTAACTAATTGTAGAAGTAAAGAAGAAAAAAATCAATCATAGATTTAGTGTAATAAAAAATATTAATTTATATCCAAGCCTAACTCCTAAACATAATTTTTTGCCAAATAGGTTTCCGAAGCGCATAAGAGTTTGTCACGTAGGCTCAGCGCATTCTGAAATTATATATAGAGGGGATATCACACTAGTATAGTACATGTGTATTACAGGAGTGATTACTCATAAATTTATATTTAAAATAAAAAAATATAAAAAATAATTATTTAAATTTTCAAATATTTTTTTGGAAAACTATATTACTATTTATATTTAAAATGACTCTCATCACTTATACGACTTAGCAACTTATATTATAATAGTTTTTTTAAACTTATATCATATAACAACTTTATAGTTAAATTAATTTAAATAACTTTATTTTTTGAATTATTATAAATATAAGTATAATTATTTATTTATTATGTATGTACAATATATGTGTCAAATCGAAACTAATACATGACTAATTTGATATATTATATCTAAAAAATAATTATAATTGATTATAATTTAAGTTAGTAGTTCTATATAATTTAAAAAATGTGAGGAAAAAGAAAGATTGAAAAATATTATGTGTACTAAAAAAACGTCTAAAATATACCATAATTAATGATTTTTTTAAAAAGAACGTAAATATTCAGTATATTTTTACGGATATTTCAGACATATTTATTAATTTTGGATTGAAACTAAACTAAAATCCATTCAAGTCAAATAACAAAGCATGAAAATTTGTCATATAAGACCACAAAACATGCGAATTTGCCACATAAGTTTAGTACATTCATGAATTATACATCATGGGATGATGATAATTTGATCATTTGGCACATTTAAGATAAAAAGTCGATCGATTATTGTAGTTTCCCATTGTTTTCACTTGCAAAGACAAAACAAAAGACTAGACGATTTATTGGAGTTATAACTTCCTACTGACCATATTATTATTTGGGAAACATTTATTTTGGAAAAAAAAAAGGGGGGGAGGTTAATAAGGTGGTGGGGCCAAGGGGGGCGCGGCTTCCCTACATTTGTAGTAACAAAAGCAATGCGCATCGTCTTTAGAGCATTCTGCACGAACTACAGTAGGGTGAGAAATCTGACATTGAGTTTTGCAATAGTTCATATATCTGCAACCGGATGGCGTGGGAATTGTTTCGTTACAGACACGCAACGGCGGCGAGTAGTGAGGATCTGATGGGACAAAAAACATAGACAGATAAAACACAAATTAAATGATTTCTTTGGATCAACTTTATCTCATTTATTTAAATCACTTTTTTATCCGGCCTTTAAGTAGTTTTTCCTAAAAAATTTTTTTAAAGAAATCACAAAGTGATTGGAACGACATAGACTTTCAGGAAAAAAAATNGAAAAAAAAAAAAGAATAAGATGAAAAAAAAGGTTAGAAACCAAAATTATTTCATTACCATTAGCAATAACAGTAGAATCCCAGGCAAAAATGATGAAAAGTGTGCAAAGGACAGCGCCACCAATGATTTTCTTCTCCATATCCCTTTCCAAAGATTTTGGCCTTTTAGCTTGAAGAAGATAATTTTTTTTTTAGTTTGTTCTACTTTATTTGAAGGCTCGAAAGTGAACTGGGATATATATAGAGGTGAAACCTATACACCTGTAGAAGAGGTACAAATACAATTTAATAGCTCTTATTATAGCTTTATGAGATTACATAGGGATTCCATCTCTTATTCTAAAATACTAATAAAAGTAGCTCCTGCGATGCACGAGATTATAATACTTTCTCTCTTCTCGCTTACTCATACATTATTATAATATATTATCATACATTATTATAATATATTATTTTAATTCATAAGTAATTTACACATTCTCAATTAATTTCAATTGTTTGTTGTTTACTTTATCGCATAACTTGTTTCGCACTTGCTCAATGATCTTCGCATGTTGTCTCGCATAAGATATTTGCAGTTGATCAATTAACTTCGCATGTCTGTTGCATGCTTTAACGCATAATTTGTTTCGCACTTTACTCAATGAACTTCGCTTGTGTGTCGCATATCATATTGTATAAATATTTCGCACTTTACAAATTATCGCATAATATTATCGAAATTATCAATTATCATCGGTTGCCTGTCGTATAACTTTTTGCTTAATGTTTTCACGCTATATCAATTATCTTCGTCTATCTTTCACATAGCTTTTTGCATCAATTATATTCGGTTTGTCGCATAGCTTTTTGCATTAATTATCTTCGCATGTTTGTCGCACAATTTATCGCATAATTGTTTCGAACTTATTAATTATGTTCATCTATCTGTGGCATAGTTTATTGCATAACTATTTTGCACTTTATCAGTTACCTTCGCCTGCTTGTCGCATAGCTTACCGCATAATTTTTTCGCACTTTATCCAATATGTTTGTCTGTCTGTCGCATAGTTGATCGCATAACTCTTCGCACTTTATTGATTATCTTCGGTGTGTTGCATAATTGTTTCGCACTTTATCAATTATATTCGTCTGTTTGTCGCATAACTATTAAGTTGATCGCATAATTATTTCACACTTTATCAATTATCTCCGTCTGTAATTCGCATAGCATATCGCATAATTGTTTCAATTTTTATCAATTATATTCATTTGTCTATCACATAACATATCGTATAAATTATTTAGCACTTTATGAAGTGAAAAAGTAAACTTATTATTTGGCGGTGTGTAAAACTTATTTCGTATTCAAAGCGGGTTGAAAATGTCTATTTTCTCTTTTTATTTTTTATTTTTACTTTTTGGTGAGAGAGATTTTAAATTATATTAAAAAGTTAATCAATGTAATGAAAAATAATATTTTTTTTTCTTTTACATATAAAAGACAGATTTTCTGAAGGGAGTAACGACGAGGGAGGATTTTAAATGATGTGGGCGTATCTTGACTAACTAGTGTGTACCCCGTGCGATGCACGGGAACAATATTAAATTAACAATATTATAAATAGACATCGAGTTTGAGTCATTCAATGGCGGAAGTGGAAACTACTATTGATCCTATTTAAAAAGAGGAAGAAAAAAATAATTATAAATTAAAGAGGAGGATAAACAATACTTAATAATTATAAATTAAAGATCCAGGGTCAACAATGTAAAATTATTTTGTATAAGGGAATATAAAAAAATTTGATTACACACCATTTCAAAATTATTATTATACTTTTTTGTATGGTTAGCTTATAATATTTGTAAAAATATTAGTAATTAGACCGATAAATTAGCTTCTTAAAGTAGATAATGAATTTCTAATAGTAATTATGAATTGATTTATATTTTATTTTCTTTTTTTTTTTAAAGATAATGGATTTCTAGTAATAATTATGAATTGATTTCTATTTTATTTTATTTTTTCAAATCTTTATAAATAAGGGATGAGATTTTTTAAACACGTGAGACGTATGCAATGAGATTTTGTAACAGAAGAGATAAGCAATGGGATTTTGTAACTCGTGTAGATTTATACTAAAAATAAGAAAAAGAAAAACAAATATTTATTGTCAAACAACGGTTTTCATATACTAAAAAACAGGAAAAAGAGAAACAAATCTTTACATAATGAACCGATTTTTTTGCCTATTCAGATTTTTCTAACAACTACTATATATAGAATATATTTAATGATTTTGGCGGGAAAAAATTTTTAAATTTG